GTGATGCAACCACTCAGGATGCTCTCGATGGTGCAGCTGTAGAACTTTTTGAGGATCTGAGGACCCATGCCAACTCTGTTCAGTCTCCTGAGGGGGAATAGGCTTTGTCGTGCCCTCTTCACGACTGTCTTGGTGTGTTTGGACCATGATAGTTTGTTGGTGATGTGGACACCAAGGAACTTGAAGCTCTCAACCTGTTCCACTACAGCCCCGTCGATGAGAATGGGGGCGTGCTCAGTCCTCTTTTTTTCCCTGTAGTCCACAATCATCTCCTTTGTCTTGGTCACGTTAAGGGAGAGGTTGTTATCCTGGCACCACACGGCCAGGTCTCTGACCTCCTCCCTATAGGCTGTCTCATCGTTGTCGGTGATCAGGCCTACCACTGTTGTGTCGTCGGCAAACTTAATGATGGTGTTGGAGTCGTGCCTGGCCATGCAGTCATGGGTGAACAGGGAGTACAGGAGGGGACTGAGCACGCACCCCTGAGGGGCCCTCGTGTTGAGGATCAGCGTGGCAGTGTGTTGTTACCTACCCTTACCACCTGGGGGCGGCCCGTCAGGAAGTCCAGGATCCAGTTGCAGGAGGTGTTTAGTCCCAGGATCCTTAGCTTAGTGATTAGCTTTGAGGGCACTATGGTGTTGAACGCTGAGCTGTAGTCAATGAATAGCATTCTCACGTAGGTGTTCCTCTTGTCCAGGTGGGAAAGGGCAGTGTGGAGTGCAATAGAGATTGCATCATCTGTGGATCTGTTGGGGCGGTATGCAAATTGGAGTGGGTCTAGGGTTTCTGGGATAATGGTGTTGATGTGAGCCATGACCAGCCTTTCAAAGCACTTCATGGCTCCAGACGTCAGTGCTACGAGTCGGTAGTCATTTTGGCAGGTTATCTTAGTGTCCTTGGGCACGGGGACTATGGTGGTCTGCTTGAAACATGTTGGTATTACAGACTCAGTCAGGGACATGTTGAAAATGTCGGTGAAGACACTTGCCAGTTGGTCAGCACATGCTCGGAGTACACGTCCTGGTAATCCTTCTGGCCCTGCGGCCTTGTGAATGTTGACCTGCTTAAAAGTCTTACTCACATCGGCTACGGAGAGCGTGATCACATAGTCATCCGGAACAGCTGGTGCTCTCATGAATGAAACAAAACGGTAATTATTAATTAATTATGCTAAATCATGCAAATATAACTTGTCTGTGTATAGCCGAGTTGCAGCGATGAGACAAGATCAACATTGGATAGAAAACATTTTTGGGGGGTGGATGGAGGCATAATAACTGGTCACACAACTAGTCTCAACTTAGGTATATCACACACACAAGGCCACCAAGGGGGTATACTTTGTTGTATACCCCGGCTAACTTTGATAACCAGAAATATCTATAGATTTTTTGTTTCTTTAAAGGGGAAGTTTTTGTGGCCTTATTTTCACTCTTTATGTGCTTGTAGTTGATCTCCCAAACAGTTACTATGATTATTTTTAAATATATTTTTTGTTTTGTTAGTCATCACTAGCCATAGACTACAATGCATTATGAAAATGTATCTTAGCATATTACAAAACACTCCAAACCAACTTATATTACATCAGAATCTCATTCAGGATAATGTCTCTGCACTACATTTTTTAAAGAATGTTCCAAAATCCATATTTGCGTATTTTTATTGTTAACTGCATCATTCAAACAGTGGGAAAGTAAGTAATTGAGTGCAGATACATGATCCAGAATGAGATTCTGATGTAATATGAGTTGTTTTGGACTCAGCAAAATGTGACAACCAATTTTCTCTGTAAAAAAAAAATGTTTGGGGGATCAACTACAAGCACAGAAAGAGTGAAAATAAGGCCACGTAAAAATAGGTGAACTTCCCCTTTAAGCAAGCTAAACTCATGTATTTTAGGTTGTTGAGACAATGGCCATTTGAAGCTTATCTTTCAAAAAAAAAAAAAAAACGTTATTTGAGAATATTTTTGCAAGTTAGCCGGCTAACTCCTTGATCCTGCTTAATAGTATACCCTTCTGGGCTAGCTCCCTCCAAGTCAATTGTTCCCATGCGATGGGCTGATGAAGATGAAATCAAACAGAAAGAAGAAAACGGCGCTACATGGAACATACCATTATCTAACAATAGGGGTATTCATTGTCTATCAAACTACTGTTAATGTGCTGTGGCACTAGATATTTTACACATTAAATACGAAAGCTATATTCAGCACACATGTTTTGAAGGTTACTTGGTTTCAAATTATTATGCGTAAGAAAATGTAAAACAATTAACTCAGAAGTTGGTTCATCCCAGCATCAGGTCAGAGTTCATAATTGCCGCAGTGTGTGTGCGGCTGTGTGCTGATGTTACTGGGTTTTTAATTTGTAGAAAAGTGAATCATCGAATTTTTTTAAGAAAAGAGAATGTCCTCCGGTAAGTTTAGTGTGAACTAAGTTTGTGATTTGTTCAATGTCGTTTTTTTGTGTCACATTTGTTATAACATTTTAAATGAAACTGCTGAGACTGATGGTCTCAGTTAGCGAGCTAACGTTAGCGTTAGTTTAGCAAGGTTTCAGGCGCGACCATCAGAGAATAAACCCTAGCCATAGTTTGTTTGCGAATGTATTACCCTTTTTATATATGTAACGTATGCCGCTTTCTGTAAAACCACACGTAGTTATTTTGACTCGCTTGACCATCTAGCTCATTGTTTAGTGTATCTTTTAGATGAGAAGTGACCGCCATTTCTGTCGCGCAGCGTGGTCCTGTTAGCACCTTGCTAACTAGCAAGCTAACGTTGTTAGCTAGTCAACGAGTAACGTGTATATTATTGGCTACGGAAGTTATCTAGCGAGGTAACCTTAGCTATGTAACGTTAGCTAGCTATCCAAGGCCTGCTTTTTTCACCGCGTAGTTATATACATTTCATATTGACCTGCAGTGCATTATCTTTATGATAACTGAATGTTGTTCACATCTAACGTTAAATCACAACTTACAAAGCTAACTAAGTTTACTTGATATCAATATAAACGAAAGTAATCTAGTTAGATAAATTAGCTACAGGTTTACGTCCAGATTGATACGAAAATCTTTGCTAACATTCATATTAGGTGACTAGTTCAGTTAGCCAAAGAGCTAACGTTAGTTGTAGCAATTTTCCCACCCATTCACCCATATCCTTCTCGTTCACAGATTCGGGCTACGGTCAGCCTGGCGCTCCAAGGTAACGTCAAATTACAATGAATACGTTAGCTACTCAGTGTTTTCAAGTTTCCATGAAACCTATCTATTTAGTTATACACAATAGTTTATTTCTAAACTATCCAATTAGCCACACAATGCTTGATCACTTGAAATGTCTTGAATGTCATGAATTTATGAATGTCATGAATTGATAGTAGGCATATCCCCAGTTATGGTAGCTTTGGGGCACAACTTCGGGAGTGTGTATTGGTTGGACTCGAATTGTGAATCGTACTGGTGGGTGTTGACAGAAGAAAATAAAAAAACTACCAAAATATAGCAGGCTACACCAAAAAAAAGTTTCCTGTCAACAAAGGCATATGTATAATCTCTAGGAACTCTATTTACCAGACGAACCACACCATTTTTCTGCTGTCTAGACAGTGGTAGATTTCATGGTAGGAAGTATTGTGTGAGGTGCGTGGTCAGCCAGTTGTTCTCCCGAGTGGCGCAGTGGTCTAAGGCACTGCATCGCAGTGCTAGCTGTGCCACTAGAGATCCTGGTTCAAATCCAGGCTATGTCGTAGCCGGCCGTGACCCGGAGACCCATGGGGCGGCGCACAATTGGCCCAGCGTCGTCCAGGGTAGGGGAGGGAATGGCCGGCAGGGATGTAACTCAGTTGGTAGAGCATGGTGTTTGCAACGCCAGGGTTGTGGGTTCGATTCCCACGGGGGGCCAGTATGATTTTTTTTTTTATGCACTCACTAACTGTAAGTCGCTCAGGATAAGAGTGTCTGCTAAATGACTAAAATGTAAATCTACAGGAATATGGTACTGTTTGGACAATAGTTGGATTCAGATGTTTATTTGATAGCGAGGGACACTTTTCACTTTACATCTGGTAAGTAGAGTTCCAAGAGATTTGCATATGCCGTTGTTGACTGGGAATGTTTTTAGGTAAGCCGACTATATTGTGGTAGGGTTATTTCCCATGGCCAGCCACCAGAATGACGCACAACTCAGGGAGTCCAACAAATAGACTCACGATGTGTCCCAAAAGCTAAGTTATGGTTAAATTTATTAAATGTCGTAGCAACAAACTCGGCCATAAGTTGACATCTCTGACTTTGTGCTTTAGAGAGAGACTTCCAAATTAGTTGTTGAAGGTGTGTACATGTTACACATTAAAGACATGTTCCGGTACTTCGATGACAAAGTATTTTTTAAACATCCCGCTTTGGGTGGGATGTGTCGGTGTAGTTCGTTTATGCATGATCTATGAGCAGAATAACTGTCTTTCCTCAATTAGTCACGAAATCCCTCGTTTGAAAGCAACTGTTTTCTTGAAGCTGTGCCGCGCAATTTTCCCTACATTTCCCCCCAAGTGGGCCAGCCCCCTAGCAATTCTAGTTCTAGCCAATGAGCTTCAGCCCCTGTCATTTGAGTGACAGCTAGCACGAGGCCTGCCCAGCGTTATCCAATGAGGTTGCCGGGCGGGCCCAACGGCTCAGTGGAGACAGAAGGGGGGAGCAATGACGTGGTGCACATATGTGACGTAGTACGCACATTTTCGGTCACCACTTTTGGCTCGTGAGTGCTACTTTCAGAACTACTGGCTAAAAAGTATACAAAATTACCAGAGAATGTCTTTAAGATATCTAACTTTACCTCTCCCTCCCACAGCTATGGAACTTATCCTCCTGCTCAGCAAAGCGGGCAGGTATGTGTGGCCCCTCAATTTTTCTGAGTATTGTTTGAAACTATTTTCTGTATGCTATTTCATCCCACTTTTGTTCATATAATGACAATTCAATGCATATTGCAGGGCTACGGTCAAGGAAATGGAAGTGGCTCGTATGGTGGACAGAGTTATGCTGGTTATGGACAGTCTGGTATGTTCAACTTATAGAGAGTCATGGGAAATGATTTGAGGTCTAGAAGTTGCTGTTTTTAATACATAACATTTCCCTTTCTGTTTCTCCAGCAGAGGGTTATGGCCAAACAACACAGGCGGCAAGTTATGGCCAGCCTGCCTATGATGGCTATGGGCAACAAGGCTCGGATACCGCTGCTGGGTAAGGCCACTGGCACTACATAAAACTAGTGTTACTTGCAGTTGCGTACTTTACCTTTCTACTGGTCTAATATCATTGCAAATGTTACCTTTCAGTAATATGTTTTGTTCATTATTAAACTCTTTGTTGGTGTCTCAAGAGAATAATTGTGAAAACTTCTCAAGGTATGGTGGTGCTGACAAGTCGTCATTCAGTCAGCCAAGTTCCTATGGCGGTGCCGACGGTGGCGGCTCTTATGGACAATCTCAAGGCGGCTACAGAGGTCGAAGTGAAGGTTAGTTATTGTATCCATTTATATATTACATGGCACTGATTTTGAATGATCAATTGTCCAGATGGCCTGCAAAGGTCTGCATACTTTTTTTTTTTGGTCTGAGGATCAGCAATTCATAGCGGTCTTTGGCCAAGACTGATCTGCCAAAGTCTGGACTGTTTAAGTATGGCTGAATGCCTCTAATAATAATAAATCACTTTTCATTGCAGAATAATCTCGTACATATAAAACAAAGTGCCATACATATAAAACAGGAAATACAAACGTGTTCAAAGAAAGACAACACCACATAACTCAAAGGGCTTGTGTGCCTGTGTTTTGCCCCAGGTGAAGGCGGTCAGGGCAGGAGGTATGGTGGAGATGATGGGGGCTCAGACAGGGGCTCTTCTGACGGGTATAGAGGCCGAGGGCGTGGTGGGTACGAGCGTGGGGGATACGACAGGGGTGGAAGAGGCGGCCCTCCATCCGGTATGGGGTAAGTTCCAGAGCGTGACCACCCGCAAGGTACTTCTGCAACACCCATGCCAGGTAGATGTTCCTTCCAACGCAATGCATGATATAAACCATTCTGATCCATCATCCCATACCTCATACATCCAGACCCCCCCCCCCCCCCCCCCAACCTATTTTCACCTGGGATGTGCTTAGGGCTGGGCGATAGGGCCTAAAAATCGTTTCAAATTTTTCCAAACAATGGACGATTCATGAGGTACATCTTGATTTTTAAAGTTCTCTAAATAAGCTTTGTTGCGCAATTGAAGGTCAATACACTGCATTTCAAACGGTCAGGAATAATTAATGAATTCAGGGTTTGTAAAATTATACTTAGACTGAATGTAAGCCTTCCACAACCATAAGACCTACTAATAATTTAATTATTTTATCATAAATAGTTTAACCAGCTTTTTTTGCAATCAACACTGATCTGGCTTTAAAGACTGTCTATGAAAATCCAACTTTTGTTACAAATTTAACAAGAACAGTGCACATCCACTAATTATGACCAACTTCTTGTAACAGGCATTATAGCAAATGAACAAAGGGCTCAAGCACAAGCCCACGTGCTAGTGAGTAGCCAGCTGATCTTTATATTTCAAGTCTAGCCAACTTTCTTGCTAACAAGGTAGAACAGTTGAACTGTTATGAATCGACCTGCCTGTCCATCTCCAACTGTTTGAACAACAGCCTGCCTGTTCACTTTGTTTAGATATTGAAATCAAGTGGCCTACCTGAATAAGAAGATGCTTATTTCTCAGAATGAGAATGAGTTGCCAATTCCGTTATATATATGTGTATTTTTATGCTCACTGCACATTTATGAAACAGACCAGACAGGTAGCACATAAGTCTGTGGGAAAAATTATGCTAGCGGTACCGCAATGCTGTGCGCGCGACAAAACTATTTTGTTAGACCAAACCTCAAATGCAAATAGCGTGTTTAAACTTCTTCCTCTGACAACAAGCAGTTATCCATCTTCTTTGTTGTGAGTGACAGGGGGAGGGGCTTGGTGTTTGAGTGGGAAGGAGCGAAGGAGACGAGACCAAAAACACACAACGCTCATAAAAACGAACAAAAATAAAAACCTTAATTCTTGCAATGCAGGTATTTGGAACATCGAGTTAAAACATAAATTAGATATCGCCCAGCCCTAGATGTGCAGGAGGTTTCACCCTGAGGGTTCACTCATACAATTTGAATTATATTTCTATGGTTTCAATGACCTGTGAGGATATAACTTGTATTCCATCTCAATCATAAATATGCATGTAATGTTCTAGCTGATTATGGCCTTGCTAGCAAATGGCAGTAAATGAAGCTCAAAAGGCTTGTGGGACAGATGACATGGTGGGGTGTCTGCTGCTGACACCTGTGGTGCAAGGAGTTCAGTGGACACTGTTCACCTGACCCCCTTTATGAATTACATAGGGTTATGAGGATTAAGTCACTTCACCAGCCAAGGATCCTGTAGACCCCAGCTTTTGTACATCTTCATTAACAAGGCTGTTGAATATAATAGTCAGGACATTCATTCGCTTGCCAGTGATCGGTTCACATTGCTATCTCTACAAGAGCAGTTCTGAAAAACGTTTTGTATTTGACAAGCAATTATAGATCTTGGCCAAGTAGCTTTAAGTGTAGAGGACCTTTAGCCTAAACCATTATTTTAGCAAGATTACTTATTTTATCCATGGCTATCATTTGAAATTGAGACATTATTTGTAACTGGAAGCTTTTAACAACCACGTTAGTAATGGCATTGAATAACGAGTACAGTAGTTCTGCTGCAGTGCTGTCACATTCTCAAAATTGCTGACAATCTAGATTTCATTTGACATGGTTCCTGACAAGTAATAGACATCAGAGGCAGGTTTGAATGCTTCAGCACATGTATATCAAACGTGGCCTCAATCTAAGATCTGCTACGATGGGTGCTATTTGCTAATGAAAACCATTAATTGTCTCTGCACAGTTAAGACTATTCTAGCCGATCTCAAGGAGTGAAGATTATTTTTGCACCCCCCCCCCACCCTTGTTGCTTTGAGAACCGCCTCATGAACGACTGAAACAATCCCCCAGAGTGATCTGTTCTTGAAGTGACCTTATTTTAACAAGTTAAACCCAAGGAACATTGTAAGCTGCTGTACATCAACAGGTTTCATTTAAGTGTTGTATATTTGACATGGAGACATTTGCATTGTGTTAACTTTGGATCTACATTTTATACTACAGGTTTCAGTGAATGAAATAAAACTTGGACCTCAGCTAATGGAGCTCATATAAGCACTCAATGGAAGAACACTCGACTTGTCGAGTGCCGCAGCTATTCAAACCATTTCGACCTATCAGTACCTTTTATCCAAAAACATTAGCCAACTGAATACTCTAAGCTAATCTGGTCTTTGTAGCAATCTAAATTTACACATTAGCCATAAGTGCCTCTTCACTCATCAGAACCTACCTGGGAGTTCTGCCTAGTTTTGTCCATTGATCTTAAAACGTCCAAGAATAACACTTTCCCATGTAAGTGGGGAGAAATTTCCACGATAGTCGCACACCATGGCAGGAGTGCATACTGATGGGGATGTAGGGGAGCTTTGAGCTCTGTTGGGACAAAGGAAACCCATCATATCTACAATTTTTCCTCTGCAGAGGTGGTGACCGTGGTGGCTACAAAAATTACGGTGGTAAGTGACGAGCATCAGAACTGTCTCGGTTGGGGAGGAAAAAGGTTGATTAGCAAAAGGGAGTGAGAAAGAAAGCAAAACAAACTGAATGCCACCCTTTTCTTGTCCAAACCTCAAGGGCCTCCACCTATTGTTCTTATGGAGGGGGTTTTCTCATAAATGCTCTTTAGATCTTTTAGCACATGAAGCATAAAGTTTATACATAATGATATTGTTGCATGAGGACAAGGTTGAATGTAAATTACAAAGATGAGAAGTGTGCTGTGGCGAAGAAGGAAACTGTCTAGAAACGGGAGGTTTTTATTTTTTTATTTCTCTTCTAAACTCAAACATTTCTGCCCATGTTGCAAGGTGTTGATATAAATGATGCAACTGTCTCGAAACACTGCAGCAGAGAGCTGTAAACTGCCTTATTCGAAATGTTTTAAAGTAGCTTCATGCATACACTGTATTGGTAGAGAGTTGATTAATTCTTGTTTGTATGGATGTTGAATGCAGTTGTGTAGTGTACGAAGTGCAATTTCTAATGGCTTTCCCCACCTTTCCCGTTTGTTGTGTTTCAGGTCCTCGAGACTACGGCTCAAGGGATGAACCAAGTGAGTTGCACATGCTTGTTTGCTTCTTGTTGCCCTGAAATTCTATCTATGGTTAGACTCTTCCTGCAATCATGCCAGACGAACACTGACCTATAGTCTCTCACAAGCAAATGCCACAGAACAACAGGCTGGTTCAAGGGATGCATCTGCTGAGTAGTACCTCGATGTTTGTCCCCAGGTGGAGGTAGCGGCGGTAGCCAAGGTAGCGGCAGCGGCGGGGAGCAGGACAACTCTGACAACAACACCATCTTTGTCCAGGGACTGGGAGAAGACGTCACAAGTGATGAAGTGGGCAACTACTTCAAACAGATTGGGATCATTAAGGTATGGATTGGCAACCCCTTAGCCCTTACCCAATAAGGCGTAGATACTTCATGTAAGTGGACATGGTAGAGAGCTGTTCCGCTAATACCGTCCTTTACAGAAAGTTGTTAGACTATAGATTAGTAGGCCAATGTTAATTAGTCAGTTATTGATCTGTCCTCTTGATATAACTGTATATCAACAGTAGGCTGCTAATGATGTGATAATAGTCAGTTCACCAATGACAAGGCATGTTGAATGAATGTTAGCCTAGTAGCTAGTCAGACCTAACTTGATGGATATCTAAAACAAGCTCATAGGCCTAGTTGATTCATATTCCAAATAGCCTACAGTAAGCTAGACTACTACATTGTATCCAGTAATTTAATTATTCAGAATTGTCTCCCAAACAAAATGAAGACTGGATTGCTAAAATATGTGATTAAGTACCACACTGCCTCAACACGTAGCGGATATTCATTTTTTCATTATATTAATACGTTTATCGGGGGGGGGAAAACGATGTAGTACTTTGAATTGAAACTCCATTGTTCTGTTACATGTAGTGGCTTTATATAGTATTTTCCATATTCCCCCAACTCTCCTCTGATATTTGCACCTGTAATTCAACCTGTCATGTTCCTAAGATTATCTAAAGAAAGTATTTGCATGATAAGGATATTGATTTATACATTTGAAACGGTTCCGATGTTGTCCACTTGATGAAGTAATTCAATAATCTCGTCAATAGGAGTAATCATTTTTTGTAACAATCGTTTTTTAACAATGAATTGCCTTACTTGAAGGTACCTATGAAAATTTGTTTGGGATATAATTAATTCCTCCTGGATTTCTTGAAATTATAAAAACAAATTGACTCTACAAAGCCCTCTCTCTTCCCATTCCCTAAATCCTTGGGACATAGTAGATTTCTACACTTTTATTTCCATGACTGATCAAAATAAATGTTCTCATGCTCTCTCTGCAGCCGACATTTGGAAAGTATTCAGACTTTTTACACATTGTTACATTACAGCCATATTCAAAATTGATTAAATTAATTGTTTTCCTCAATCTACACGCAATACCCCATAATGACAAAGCGAGAACAGTTTTCATTGAGCTGTTTCTACAGCTTAATTGGAGTCCACCTGTGGTAAATTCAATTGATTGGACATTATTTGGAAAGGCAGAGTTCCTCTGTGGAGATGGTTGTACTTCTGGAAAGTTATCCCATCTATGCAGCACATCAGGCAATTATGGTAGAGTGGCCAGACGAAGCCACTCCTCAGCGAAAGGCACATAACAGCCCGCTTGGAGTTTGCCAAAAGGCACTTAGAGGACTTTCAGACCATGAGAAACAAGATTCCTCCTCCCAACTGCACTGAGGCTAGGAAACACTGTCACCACCGATAAATCTACAATAATCGAGAATTTCAACAAGCATTTTGCTACGGCTGGCCATGTTTTCCACCTGGCTACCACTACCCCGGCCACCAGCTCTGCACCCTCCGCTGCAACTTGGCCATGCCCCCCCGCTTCTCCTTCACACAAATTCAGACAGCTGATGTTCTGAAAGAGCTTAAAAATCTGGACCCCTACAAATCAGCTGGGCTAGAGAATCTGGACCCTTTCTTTCTAAAATTAGCTGCCGTAATTGTCGCAACCCCTATTACTAGCCTGTTCAACCTCTCTTTCGTAACGTCTGAGATCCCCAGAGATTGGAAAGCTGCCGCGGTCACCCCCTCTTCAAAGGGGGTGACACTCTAGATCCAAACTGTTACAGACCTATGGATATATATCCTGCCCTGCCTTTCGAAAGTATTTGAAAGCCAAGTTAACAAACAGATCACCGACCATTTCGAATCCCACCGTACCTTCCCCGCTATGCAATCCGGTTTCCGAGCTGGTCATGGGTGCACCTCAGCCACGCTCAAGGTCCTAAACAATATTTTAACCGCGATCGATAATAGACAGTACTGTGCAGCCGTCTTCATTGACCTGGCCAAGGGTTTCGACTCTGTCAACCACCGCATTCTTATTGGCAGACTAAATAGCCTTGGTTTCTCTAACTGTCTCGCCTGGTTCACCAACTACTTCTCAGATAGAGTTCAATGTGTCAAATCGGAGGGCCTGTTGTCTGGACCTCAGGCCGTCTATGGGGGTGCCACAGGGTTCAATTTTCGGGACGACTCTATTCTGTGTATATCAATGATGTCGCTCTTGCTGCTGGTGATGCTCGGATCCACCTCTATGCGGACGACACCATTTTGTATACATCTGGCCTTTCATTGGACACTGTTCACAAACCTCCAAACGAGCTTCAACGCCATACAACACTCCTTCCGTAGTCTCCAACTGCTCTTAAACACTAGTAAAACTAAATGCATGCTCTTCAACCGAACGCTGCTTGCACCCGCCCACCCGACTAGAATCACTACTCTCGGCGGGTCTGACCTAGAGTATGTGGACAACTACAAATACATTTACTTTACATTTACATTTTAGTCATTTAGCAGACGCTTTTATCCAGAGCGACATACAGTTAGAGAGTGCATACATTATTTTTATACTGGCCCCCCGTGGGAATCGAACCCACAACCCTGGCGTTGCAAACGCCATGCTCTACCAACTGAGCTACATCCCTGCCGGCCATTCCCTCCCCTTCTCTGGACGACGCTCTGCCAATTGTGCGCCGCCCCATGGGTCTCCCGGTCGCGGCCGGCTACGACAGAGCCTGGATTCGAACCAGGATCTCTAATGGCACAGCTAGCACTGCGATGCAGTGCCTTAGACCACTGCGCCACTCGGGAGACAATATACAAATACCTAGGTGTCTGGTTAGACTGTAAACTCTCCTTCAAGACTCACATTAAGCATCTCCAATCAAAAGTTAGATCTAGAATCGGCTTCCTATTTCTCAACAAAGCCTCCTTCACTCATGCTGCCAAACATGCCCTCGTAAAACTGACTATCCTACCGATCCTTGACTTCGGCGATGTCATTTACAAAATAGCCTCCAACACTCTACTCAGAAAATTGGATGTAGTCTATCACAGTGCCGTTTTGTCAGCAAAGCCACATATACTACCCACCACTGTGACCTGTACGCTCTTGTTGGCTGGCCCTCACTACATATTAGTCGCCAAACCCACTGGCTCCAGGTCATCTATAAATCACTGCTAGGCAAATCCCTGTCTTAACTTAGCTCACTGGTCACCATAGCAACACCCACCCGTAGTCTGCGCTCCAGCAGGTATATCTCCCCAAAGCCAACACCTCCGTTGGCCGCCATTCCTTCCAGTTCTCTGCTGCCAATGACTGGAACGAACTGCAAAAATCTCTGAAGCTGGAGACTCTTATCTCCCTCACTAACTTTAAGCGTCAGTTGTCAGAGCAGCTTACTGATCACTGCACCTGTACACAGCCATTCTGAAATTAGCCCACCCAACTACCTCATCCCCATATTGTTATTTATTTTGCTAATTTGCACCCCAGTATCTCTATTTGCACATCATCTTTTGCACATCTATCATTCCAGTGTTAATACGAAATTGTAACTATTTTGCACTATGGCCTATTTATTGCCTTACCTCCATAACTTACTACATTCGCACACACTGTATATATTTTCTGTTGTATTTTTGACTTTGTTTTGTTTACCCCATATGTAACTCTGTTGTTTTTATCACACTGCTTTGCTTTATCTTGGCCAGGTCGCAGTTGTAAATGAGAACTTGTTCTCAACTGGCTTACCTGGTTAAATAAATAATAAATACATTAAAAAAATTATCTGGTCTGATGAAACCAAGATTGAACTCTTTAATACACTGTATGGTGAGCAATATGTCTGGAACATCAAATCGCAATAAAATCACAGTATCGAATCGCAATACATATAGAATTGTGAGAGTCGTAATACGTAACATATTGGCGCCTAAGTATCGTGATAATAACTTATCGTGAGGTCCCTGGTATTTCCCAGTCCTCATGGCTGCCCAGATTTGTGTCCCCGTGTTAACCTTTGTGTCCTGTTTTGATAGTTGAACAAGAAGACTGGCTTGCCCATGATCAACCTGTACTCTGACAAGGCTACTGGGAGACTGAAGGGAGAGGCCACGGTCTCATTTGATGATCCACCTTCTGCCAAAGCGGCCATTGAGTGGTTTGACGGTAAGGGTGTGCTCTCTAATCCCATTCACATATGCTGTGTACAGTTCTTCTGTTCCATTCTCATTGATGTCCATTTTCTTCTAGGCAAAGAATTCCAAGGGAAACCCCTCAAAGTGTCTTTTGCCACCAGAAGAGCTGAGTTCACGCAGAGGGGTGGCGGTGCAGGAGGAGGAGGAAGAGGAGGTGGTGGTAAGTTTCATTCACTTTTGGGTGACAAACCATTCAAATGTTTGTCACCCAAACTACCCGTGGGTGTGAGTCCCAAAAACACAAGATTGTCTTTGTGCTAAAGATGAGCTTTCAATCCATTGTTAGGCAATAGGGGTATAACGATTCACCGATACGAATCGGAATCTGGTTCAAATGTTTAAGATATAAGTGCAAATGTAGCATGGATCGGGCAGTAAAACTCCAATGGGCGGTAGGCCTATTCCTGATTTTTGCACATCTGTGCAGCATCTTCAGCATTTAAATGCTTGTGAAATGGATTGTGCAACATTAGGCTTTATTAGTTAATTCACAACCAGGGCCGTGCTCAGACCTTTTGGAGGGGGCATGTGCTCAAACAAAAGAAGGGCACTCCCCCCAAAAAAAACACGGTCACAGACTCCTTGAGGGGAAAGCAGAACAATCTGATTAGTGAAGTATTTTACACAACTATTTTGAACTGGAATAAATGTTACTTATTAACCAACAGGACCAACAGAATTCTAGTCAAAATAGATGTAAGAAATAATGTAGCCTACCATTACTATATCCAACCCCACTCATTTGTTGCCACTATCCCAGTGGTTTGCAAACGTTTTGACCCGCGCTGCCCAAAAAGGAGTGGTACAGAAATTGCGGACCCCCCCCCCCCCCCCCCAACATGAAATGTTGCATCTTCATCCTATAATATTGAAGGCAGTGTGACGTTACAGCTGCTTATCTTAAGACATACGGTGCATTCGGAAAGTATTCAAACCCCTTCCCTTTTTCCACATTTTGTTACGTTACAGCCTTATTCTAAAATGGATGAAGTTATTTTTTCCCCCTCATCAATCTACACACAATACCCAATAATGACAAAGCGAAAACAGGTTTTTAGACATTTTTGCAAATTTAAGTGTTCAGACCCTTTGCAATGAGACTTGAAATTGAGCTCTGGTTTATCCTGTTTCCATTGATCATCCTTGATGTTTCTACAACTTGATTGGAGTCCACCTGAGGTAAATTCAATTGATTTGAAATGATTTGGAAAGGCACACACCTGTCTATATAAGGTCCCACAGTTGACAGTGCATGTCAGAGCAAAAACCAAGCCATGAGGTCGAAGGAATTGTCCGTAGAGCTCCAAGACAGGATTGTGTCGAGGGACAGATCTGGGGAAGGGTACCAAAAAACCTCTGCAGCATTGAAGGTCTCCTAGAACACAGTGCCCTCCATCATTCTTAAATGGAAGTAGTTTGGAAACACCAAGACTCCTTGAGCTGGCTGCCCGGGCAAACTGAGCAATCAGGGGTGAAGGGACTTGGTCAGGGAGGTGACCAAGAAACCGATGGTCTCTCTGACAGAGCTCCAGAGTTCCTCTGTGGAGATGGGAGAACATTCCAGAAGGACAAACATCTATGCAGCACTCCACCAATCAGGCCTTTATGGTAGAGTGGCCAGACGGAAGCCACTCCTCAGTAAAAGGCACAGGACCGCCTGCTTGGAGTTTGCCAAAAGGCACCTAAAGGACTCTCAGACCATGAGAAACAAGATTCTCTGGTCTGATGAAACCAAGATTAAACTCTTTGGCCTGAATGCCAAGCGTCACGTCTGGAGGAAACCTGGCACCATCCCTACGGTGAAGCATGTTGGTGGCAGCATCATGCTGTGGGGATGTTTTTTAGCAGCAGAGACTGGAAGACTAGTCCGGATCGGGAGAAGGATGAACGGAGCAAAGTACTGAGATATCCTTAATGAAAATCTGCTCCAGAGCACTCAGGATCTCACCTTCCAATAGGACAACGACCTTAAGCACACAGCCAAGACCACGCAGGAGTGGCTTCGGAACAAGTCTCTGAATGTCCTTGAGTAGCCCAGACAGTGCCCGGACTTGAACCCGATCGAACATCTCTGGAGAGACCTGAAAATGGCTGTGTAGTGATGCTTCCCATCCAACCTGACAGAGCTTGAGAGGATATGCAGAGAAGAATGGGAGAAACTCCCCAAATACAAGTGTGCCAAGCTTGTAGCGTCATACCCAAGAAGACTCAAGGATGTAATTGCTGCCAAAGGTGCTTCAACAAAGTACTGAGTAAAGGGTCTGAATACTTATGTAAATGTTATGTCTTTCAATTTGCGAAAATGTATAAAAAAACAGTTTTTGCTTTGTCATTTTGGGTGGGGGTTATATTACCACTGAAAAGGGGCACTTTGGAGACGGGAAGGGCAAAGGGGCGTGTGCTCTGCACAGGTAGAGAGCCCCATCTGTGCGTGTGCTTGGTGACAACCAATGTAATTTGCTAGGTAATTGTCATAAACTGTATGCACGCATGACTGTAAGTCGCTTTGGATAAAAGCGTCTGCTAAATGGCTTATTATTATTATTATTATTATTATTATTATAAAATTTTAACGGAATCAAAGTATGCTACCGGAGACACTACTCATCTGCAGATCTGGGCTTAAATCATTTAGATTTTATTTGGATTGTTCATGTTCCCCAATCAGTGTATTTAGTCATTTTTAGTGTAAAGTTGATACATTTGTAACAAGGACAGCGATCACTTTTGCGAGCCACACTACATGGTCGACGCGACCGGGAATAGAAGAGAACCTCTGAGAAAAGCTAAATTTTAAATGTAAATATTGATACATAACTAGCTCAAACACTTATCTGCAAAAATGACAAGATAATTAGTGGGTGACGAGTTGAGATCGTAAGTGGGGGGGACAGAAAGCATAAATTTCTCCCACCCCCTTATCTGAGGTGGGGTGGTAGATGCCCAGTCTCCCCTATGGTTCAGCTCCGGTGCGTACATACACCATACACAAATACATCATTCACTCACACACATCTCAGAAAAGATGGCTCTGAAAGATCCAGCACCTGATCGCCATCAGCAGCAGATTTTAATTTAGAATAGGAAATTCAAGCGTTTATGCAACCGATGTTAGCGCATCTATTCGCATCGAACAATCTCATAGATTTGTTCCTCTAATCATACTGAATCGCACCGCATCGTTTCAAATGAAAAAGTATCTAAATCGAATCGTCTTGAAATGGAAAGCTGCACGCCCCTAATAGGTAATGGACGAATGATCTTAATGCTAAAGACTAGATGGACATTTTCCATGAAGGAACATTTTGACTTCAGCTTTTCGAAAGTATTTTTGTGGCAGTGGATAGGATAGCCTGAACATGTGAAAGATGGTTTGGTGTCTCTAGCTTGATCTAGGTTTGGGCAGTATACCGGGGTATTGCGAAATGCTGACTGACCAGGTGAAGGCTATGATCCCTTATCCCTCACTTGTTAAATCCACTTCAATCAGTGTAGATGAAGGGGAGGAGACAGGTTAAAGAAGGATTTTTAAGCCTTGAGACAATTGAGACATGGATTGTTTGTGTGCCATTCAGAGGGTGAATGGTCAAGAAAAAATATTTAAGTGCCTTTTGAATGGGGTATGGTAGTAGGTGCCAGGTGCACCAGTTTGTTTTCAAGTTTCCCGTGTGTCTCAAGAATGGTCCACCACCCAAAGGACATCCAGCAAACTTGACATAGCTGTTGGAAGCATTGGAGTCAACAAGGGCCAGCATCCATGTGGAACGCTTTCGACAACTTGTAAAGTCCATGTCCCGACGGGGGAGTGCGCACAACTCAATATTAGGAAGGTGTTCCTAATGTTTGATATTATTATAATAATATGCCATTTAGCAGACGCTTTTATCCAAAGCGACTTAGTCATGTGTGCATAAATTTTTACGTATGGGTGGTCCCGGGGATCGAACCCACTACCCTGGCGTTACATGCGCCATGCTCTACCAATTGAGCTACAGAGGACCACAATGGCCATTTTGAAGCTTATCTTTCAACAACAACAAAAAATACAAAGTTATTTGAGAATATATTTGCAAGTTAGCCGGCTAACTCCTTGATCCTGCTTGATAGTATACCCCTCTGGGCTAGCTCCCTCCAAGTCAATCGTTCCCATGCGATGGGCTGATGAAGATGAAATCAAACAGAAAGAAGAAAACGGCGCTACATGGAACATACCATTATCTAACAATAGGGGTATTCATTGTCTATCAAACTACTGTTAATGTGCTAGATATTTTACACATTAAATACGAACAAAGCTATATTCAGCACACATGTTTTGAAGGTTACTTGGTTTCAAATTATTATTATGCGTAAGAAAATGTAAAACAATTAACTCAGAAGTTGGTTCATCTCAGCATCAGGTCAGAGTTCATAATTGCTGCAGTGTGTGTGCGGCTGTGCGCTGATGTTACTGGGTTTTTAATTTGTAGAAAAGTGATTCATCAAATTTTTTTTTTTTAAGAAAAGAGAATGGCCTCCGGTAAGTTTAGTGTGAACTAAGTTTGTGATTTGTTCAATGTAATTTTTTTGTCACATTTGTTATAAAAATTTTAATGAAACTGCTGAGACTGATGGTCTCAGTTAGCGAGCTAACGTTAGCGTTAGTTTAGCAAGGTTTCAGGTGCGACCATCGGAGAATAAACCCTATCCATAGTTTGTTTGCGAATGTATTACACAGTGTAAATGTGTGTGTGTGCGTGCATGCATACATACGGGGACACAGTGAATTTGTTTTTTTGGCTCTGTACTCCAGCACTTTGGTTTTGAAATGACCAGTGGGAAATGACTAAAGTGCAAACTGTCAGCTTTAATTTGAGGGTATTTTCATCCATATAGGGCGGCAGGAAGCTTAGTGGGTAAGAGCGTTGTGCCAGTAACTGAAAGGTCGCTGGTTCTAATCCCCGAGCCGACAAGGTGAAAAATCTGTCTGTGCCCTTAAGCAAGGCACTTAACCCTAATTGCTCCTGTAAGTCGTTCTGGATAAGAGCGTCTGCTAAATGACTAAAATGTGAACAGGTAAAAAATTACAGCACTTTTTGTAAATAGTTCTCCCATTTTTAGGGGACCAAAAGTATTGGGACAAATTCGCCCCACGGATATCTAATTAGCGTTTGTGTGCACCATCATGCGCATGTTGGTTTTCTCTATCCCCACCAGAACCTGTGCGTTCATGACACTCAGGTTAAAATACCAAAACCAACTATATACAGTTTGGGATGGGTCATTTAGCTAGCCTGCTGTTGCTAGCTAAGTTGTCCTGAAAATAAACATTGGTTTGTTATTTTACCTGAAATGCATATGGTGTTTTTTAAAATCTTTTTTTTTTTTGCCTGGTCTTCGTAGAATTTTGACCCATGTTGAGTCATACAAAATCGTGTGTTCTCTACTCCGGCAATTAGTCCACAGATAAACAAACTAGGTTTCCCCTTTTTTTTCTCCTTGTTCATTCTTCTTCTGTGGGTGTGTTATAGTTGGCAACCAACTTTAAGGTGCATTACCACCACCAACAATACCGGAGTGTGACCCTCATTCATCTTTCAATCACCCATGTGGGTATATGCTCCTAAAAACCAAGTTCTTTTTTAGCGCCTGGTTACGAAGACGCTCGTTGCCTCGTGCGAGACGTTTGTATGAAATTGAGTAACATGTATGTGTACATTTATTTTGCAACACTCACACACCAACGCGGGTGGTGTGGTTAGCATGTATGCCAATGGCGGCCTTTCACATCTGCGGTGGAAGGTGGCAGAGCTACAGGGGTGTTTGTCAGGCCATGAGAGCGCCTGAAAATCGGTCTTTTCAAGAAAACGTTTGAAGCGTCCGAGCAGTTTGGCCTATAAACTAATACGACCACTATATGGGAAGGTGACTCTCACGTTTTGCTCTACGACCCCCACAATTGTGGCGAGGCTCGTCTGAAGTTGGTACCGCCGATCTGCCAACTTCTGTCTGTAGCGTCCGAACAGTTTGGGCTACACTAATATGACCCCTCTATGGAAAGGTGAGACTCTCGAACAAGCACATGTCGGTGTTGCTCTAGGACGCCCACAAGCCTCACAAGATTCCTCTGAAGGTAGCCCAGTACCAGTTAAAACAATGAATGGAAGTACAGTGATTTGAAAGTATTCACACCCCTTGACTTTTTCCACATTTTATTGTGTTACAGCCTGAATTTAAAATGCATTACATTTAGATTTTTGTCACTGGCCTATACACAATACCCCATAATGGCAAATTGGAATTGTTTTTTGTAATTTATTAGTAAGTATTCAACCCCTTTTGACATGGCAAGCCTAAGTAAATTCAGGAGTACAAATGTGCTTAACAAGTCACATAAGTTGCAGGGACTTGGGTCTGTATGCAATAAGTGATTTTTGAATGACTACCTCCAACTCTGTACCCCACACATACACATTTGTGTAAGGTCCCGCAGTCGAACAGTGAATTTCAAATGGATTCAACCACAAAGACCAGGGAGGTTTTGCGAAGAAGGGTACCTATGGGAAGAAAAAAAACAGACATTGAATGTCCTTTTGCGCATAGTGAAGTTATGAATTACGCTTTGGATGACGTATCAATACACAGTCACTACAAAGATAGAGCCTTCCTTCCTAACTCAGTTTCCGGAGAGGAAGGAAAACACTCAGGGATTTCACGAGGCCAGTGGTGACTTTAAAACAGTTACTGAGTTTAATGGCTGTGATAGGAGAAAACTGAGGATGGATCAACATTGTAGTTACTCCACAATACTAACATAAATTACAGCAGGAAAAGCAAGCCTGCACATAATAACAAATATTCCAAAACATTTATCCTGTTCGCAACAAGGCTTTAAAGTAATACTGCAAAGAATTTGTCAAAGCAATTCACTTTTTGTCCTGCATACAAAGTGTTATGTTTGGGGCTAATACAACACATTACTGAGTACCACTCCATATTTTCAAGCATAGTGGTTGCTGCGTCATGTTGTGGGTAGGCTTGTAAACGTAAAGGACTATGACGTTTTTTTAGGATAAAAAAGAAATGAAATGGAATGGAGCTAAGCACATGCAAGAACCTGGTTGTCTGACTTCCATCAGACACTGGGAGATTAATTCACCTTTCAGCAGGACAATAACCTAAAACACAAGGCCAAATCTACATTGGAGTTGCTTACCAAGAAGATGGTGAATGTTCCTGGGTGTCGAGTTACAGTTTTTACTTAAATCTACTTGAAAATCTATGGCGAGAACTGAAACTGTCAAATTGGTTGTTGATCAATGCTAGACGACCAGAGGTTGAAGAATTTTGAAAAGAATGAGAACGTTGCACAATTCAAGTGTGGAAAGCTCTTAGAGACTCACCACTGTAATCGCTGCCAAAGGTGCTTCTACAAAGTATTGCCTCAGGGGTGTGAATACTTATGTGAGATCTGTAAATTTGCACACATTTATAAAAACATGTTTTCACTTTTGTGTGTAGATGGGTAAGAGAAAAAAATCGATGTAATCCATTTGGAATTCAGGCTGTGACGCAACAACATTTTGACTAAGTCAAGGAGTATGAATACTTTCTAAAGGCACACATATGGAAATAGTTTAGTGCCAAAAGTTTTATATGGGTAAAAATATGAATAATTTCCTGATCTTTCTCTCAGATATAGGACAGACACTTTAAAACAAACTTCCTTTTGATTTATTTTGACATGTATGAATCTGTCATTCAATGCATTTCTATGGGTTACTAGCAGGAAGGCAAAATTCAAGGAGGGCAACAATTCTAAATCATATAGCTAAATGGTCCTTGGTATGACCATCTTCAAACAGCAAATGCATCCAACAAATGTGTACAGTCACAAGCTTGATGTAGTCATTGCGTGCTATGACTGGGACCAACTACTTCACTTTTTACTACTTTAATACACATGAATTTGGTCCAATACTTTTAGTCCCCTAAAATTGGGCAGGGGGTGTACAAAAACTGCTGTAATTTCTGAACTGTTCACCTGATTGGATGAAAATACCCTAAAATTAAAGATGAGTCTGCACTTTAACCTCATAGTGATTGTATCATTTAGTGTTCTTTTTTTTTTATTTATTTTTGTAATTTTACCCCCTTTTTCTCTTAAATTTTGGTGATTTCCAATGGCGATTTTAAATTACGATCTTGTCTCATCGCTGCAACTCCCCAACGGTCTCGGGAGAGGCGACGGTCGAGTCATGCGTCCTCCGAAACCTGACCCGCCAAGCCGCGCTGCTTCTTAACACCCACTCGCTTAACCCGGAAGCCAGCCGCATCAATGTGTCAGAGGAAACACAGTTCAACTGACGACTGAGGTCAGCTTGCAGGCGCACGGCCCGCCATAAGGAGTCGCTAGAGCATGATGAGCCAAGTATTACATTTACATTTACGTCATTTAGCAGATTTGCCTCGTGCAGTGCGACACATCTCCTTCGCATAGTTGATTAGGCTGTTGATTGTGGCCTGTGGAATGTTGTCCCACTCCTCTTCAATGGCTGTGCGAAGTTGCAGGGTATTGGCAGGAACTGGAACATGTTGTCGTACACGTCGATCCAGAGCATCCCAAAAATGCTCAATGGGTGACATGTCTGAGTATGCAGGCCATGGAAGAACTGGGACATTTTCAGCTTCCAGGAATTGTGTACAGATCCTTGCGACATGGGGCAGTGCATTATCATGCTGAAACATGAGGTGATGGCAGTGGATAAATGGCATGACAATGGGCCTCAGGATCTCATAACGGTATCTCTGTGCATTCAAATTGCCATCGATAAAATGCAGTTGTGTTCGTTGTCCGTAGCTTATGCCTGCCCATACCATAACCCCACCGCCCCCATGGGACACTGTTCACAACATTGACATCAGATACCGCTCACCCACACAACGCCGTACACGCTGTCTGCATGCTGTCTGTTAAACTGGGATTAATCCGTGAAGAGCACACTTCTCCAGCGTGCCAGTGGCCGTCAAAGGTGAGCATTTGCCCACTGAAGTCAGGTACGGTGCTGAACTACAGTCAAGTCAAGACCCTGGTGAGGACAACGAGCATGCAGATGAGCTTCCCTGAGTCGGTTTCTGACAGTTTGTGCAGAAATTCTTTGGTTGTGCAAACCCACAGTTTCATCAGCTGTCCGGGTGGCCGATCTCCAATAATCCCGCAGGTGAAGAAGCCGGTTGTAGAGGTCCTGGGCTGATGTGGTTACAAGTGGTCTGCGGTTCTAAGGCCTTTTGGACGTACTGCCAAATCCTCCAAAACGAAGTTGGAGGTGCTTTATGGTAGAGAAATTAACATTCAATTCTGACAACAAATATGGTGGACATTCCTGCAGTCAGCATGCCAATTGCACGCTCCCTCAACTTGAGACATCTGTGGCATTGTGTTGTGTGACCAAACATTTTAGTGGCCTTTTATTGTCCCCAGCACAAGGTGCACCTGCGTAATGATCATGCTTTTTAATCTGTTTATGCCACACCTGTCAGATGTGTTATCTTGGCAAAAGATAAATGCTTACTAACAGGCATGTAAACACATTAGTGCACAAAATCTGAGAGGCTATTTGTGCATATGGAACATTTCTGCCATCTTTTAGTTCAGTTCATGAAACATTGGACCAATACTTGTTGCGTTTTATATTTTTGTTCAGTATAGTTGTTTACATGCGTGATAGCCTACACTTGTCTGTCCAATTTATGGCACATGATGCGACTTAAAGTCTTGGGTGTCTTCTTATGACATGCATTATTTGAATTAGATGCACAGAATTATACCTAGGAGGAGCGGCTTCTATGGAGGAACTTTGAAGGTTCTTTGAGCTAGCGAGGTAACTAACAATCTTTAGTTATCTAGCTAACAAGCTTGTGTGTGCAGAGCGGCACCATAATTAAAAACACGTCTTACCTTTTTGTAGTTTATAAATCCATTGTGAAACATAACTAGGCCTATAGTATCCTTAACCAGCATTGAAAAAGTTAATCCATTCTTCTCTAGCTAATTAAAAATCGCTCTCCCCATCTTCTGAATCAAGCTTGTAACTACAGTACTGTAGCCTATACTGGGGAGGGGCAGGTAGCCTGCACACGCACTGGCAAAGATTTTCAGCTTGCATGCAGACACAGGTTTCTGAGTGAAAGAGGGCTTTCCATATGTGCTTTGTTGCATTTTGTTGTGAGAATAGGTAAAAAAAATGCCTGAAGCGTAAAATAACGGTTCTGTTCCGGAACAGTATGGATCACTTTCGTTCCAGGTTCCATTTATGTTCCTTAAAAATGTATTGTTCTGTTCCCCTGAACCATTTCCAACTCCGTTTTTATAATGCATGTAAGGATATTGGTCTATAGATATTGTACACCCAAGTTTTGGAGAAATCTGTTTATTGTTGTCAAAAGATGTTGAAACATTTATACCATTTTCAAAATGGTGGATGATCCATCACGGTGACATCATTGGTCCAAGAGGCAAATTTGTTATTTGGGAAGAGGAACCGATGTGCCAAATTCCAAGACTGTAGGTTGAACGATGAGGTGGGGCTGACCTTTTTGAAGTCCAAGGTGGTTCATAGCGCCACCATTTGGCAGTTGCACCACGTGTAACGAGATGTATTCATGCATCATTTTACACCATCCCACCAAGTTTGATCTCTGTAGGTCTTACCATTTCAGACCTATAGCTCTCCAAAGAAAAGAAAAAAATACTCAACCATTTATAATGGGGTTCCAGCCTTTTCATCATTACTCTATTGTTCTAAATTCAATCACCCTCTTCATCATCATTTTTGCCTGTGAGTATCCATGGCAATGGCTCGATTTGGTGTGCTCAATGACGAGGCATGAGAGCTGTTAGCTGGCGTTAGCTAGCTACTTTGTCACTCAATACCGAGAAACAGCTGTAACTTTTGATTGGTAGTAGATAATTCTTTTTCTGATTCTTGATTTGAATAGCAGAAAAGTAGACCAAGATGTCATACCCTCTAAGTTTAATTCTAAAGTCCTGTGACAGTTGTCAATTTCACGTGTTTGGGGAAAAATGTGATGCGGTTACTGAAACCGCTGTATTGGTAGCAGATATTTTTTCTGATTTGAATAGCAGAGAATTAGATGAAGATTTCATACGCTCTTAACGTTTTGGGGAAGTGGTCAATTTCAGTTTTAAAAAAACGTTAGAGAAAATGTTGATGCGGTTAGTAAAATAGCTGTATCGTTTGATCGTTAAACATTTTTGTTCAGATTTGAATAGTAGAGGAAAATGTTATACACTAACTTTTTATGTTGTTCACAAAGTGGTCAAAGTAGCTGATTTGTGCCAAGTTGCATTATTGCATTTACAGTGAATGGAATGTTGGAAGTCGTCACAATGGGACCTTTAGAATGCTGAAAAAAGTCCCATGAAAGTGAATTAAGATGGACAAAAAGCTTAGTGGTTTAAAAAGTACAGAAGATATCAAAGTTATATACAAGCAACTCCATCCTGACCGGTCTACACGTTTTAAAGTTTGAATGGCGTTTCTAGCTTAAACGGTGTACGAGGAGTAGCGTGCTAAAGAATAACTATAAGAAATATGTAAAAGATTAAAAGTGGGGACTCTTGCTTCCCAAGCCCAAATAATAACTAGAAGTCAGAAATATGTGGTACAATTTAAAGTGTGGCTGCTTTTGCAAGCCACAATAATTATTTGTTTCTGGGAAATTACTTTCCCATAAATGGGTTTTTGGAACCCATTTGTTGAAGCTAGGCCTTCAGAGGTCTTTTGTCCCTTGCACTTAAATAAGTGGTGTTTGATGTGTCTCTTTTAGGTTTTGGCGGCCGTGGTCGTGGACGTGGGTTTGGAGGAGGAGGTGGTGGTGGTGGTGGTGGACCCAACTTTGACATCAAGGGAGGGGACTGGCCATGTCCTAACAGGTATTTATTGCAATATTTTATTTGAAGCGGGGCAGACACAATTGAGTCATCCATTGCACATTGTATGTGCCACTGAATTCTGTTCTGATATGGAATGGCTACATCTTTGAATGTGATGGTTGACAATTGTTCCCCTTTTCAGTTCTTGTGGCAACATGAACTTTGCGCGTAGATACGAATGCAACAAGTGTGGCACACCGAAACCAGGGGACAGCGGAGGAGGTATGTGATGATGGATATTGCTATGAGCCTTTTGTAGAGAGAACTGGGTGTCAGGTACACTATAGGGGGTAGTTGAGTAATTTAACCACTAATACTATAAACTATTATTACTGCTGTGTAGGAGAACTTGCTCTAATGGCTGGTTTGTGTTTGCAGATCGTGGTGGAGGCAGAGGAGGGTATGGTGGTGACAGGGGCGGTGGCTACAGAGGGCGTGGGGGATTCCGTGGAGGTGACCGCGGTGGTGACCGCGGTGGTTATGGCGGAGGTGGATATGGTGGTGACAGGGGCTACAAGATGGGAGGAAGGTAAATTTGATTAGTGTCATTTCCCTCCCATGCAGTTAGACATTTGACCAGAAGATGGCATACCTGAGATGTGAAAGTGAACTGTAGAATATTGAATTAGGGTTACTTTTTTGTCTGATTTTGCTCTAATAGTAATATAATTTACTATGGGTCTATTGTTTTCCCCCTTCTTCCCTCAGAGGTGACCATAGAGAAGACAGAAGAGACCGGCCATACTAAGCATTCACATGGACACCATTCCAGAATGCCCAGGGGTTGGGGTTGGGTTAAGGGGAAGGGAGTGGGGGGATTGATCTACACTTTGATTTGCATACCTTTCATTACCAATGCATCATCACATGTATTGCTTCTGATCTGTCTTGTTGGGAGGTCAGGGAAAGATGTGCAGCTACTGTGAAAGGACTTTTGGGCTGATAAGCAGGGTTGTTGGTGTAGAAAGGGGCAGAGTCAAATGTCATGTTATTTTGTTTATTTTCATTTCCCCGATTTTCTATTAGGTCCAGGCATTGTGAGGTAGACTTCTAAGACTTCGTATTATTGTTTTGTCAAATTTAAATGAACTGTTTTACTTGGGTTTTTTCTTTTTTTTCCAAATGATATTAAACTGTTCCGATCTTAGTGTCTTCATGTATGTTTTATTTCAAAGTTCTAGTGGCTATCTATATGATTTGTTTAGTGCTTGGGTAGTAATTGCTAAGTATCCAACACTAGCAACATAATACTCCAGCACTAAGTAAGCATGTTGTCAGCTTTTTAAATATCTGTAGGTCAATTAATTTGAACAATATTGAGGTAGCCTATACAAAGTGCCAAGAGAAGGGAAGTTTTGACATTCAATGTACAGCATTTTGCTTTCAGCTCTCATCCCTCATCCAGCCCTTGAGCTGTGTGGGTGGTACTGTCCCTCCACTATGTGAGCAGAATAACTGGGACAGGAGTGGCTGGTGTGCTGTTGTAGCCTACACAACACTGGGATCACAAACATTGATATAGCCCTGGTTGTTGCACATTAGAAAAGTAGTACTTGGACATTTCTTATTTGAATTTACATGTATGGTTATGATGTCTGTGTGGTTAGTCTAATGGTATTGCAAATGTCATACAATGAGTCTTTGACTCTCCGGACCAGAATAAATTGTGGCATGTCGGTGCATGGATTATAACTGCGCTGGTACTCAAGTCAATGGTTTGCATGCCAGTGTCAAAGGACTGGTGGGTCGAGACCGCTGAGGCAGAGGTACCTTTTTTGTATTTTTAGCTTTTTAGGAGTTTTCCTATGTTTACAACAACTTTAGAAATAGCCTATTTTTTACAAGATATTCTAACACTGGCTGTGTTTACACAGGTAGCCCAATTCTGATATTTTTTCCAATAATTGGTCGTTTGACCAATCAGATCTTTTTCAGACCTGATCTGATTGGTCAAAATACCAATTAGTGAGGGGAAAAGATCAGAATTGGGCTGCCTGTGTAAACTCAGTCTTAGTATATTATGTTGTGTACAGATGAATGAATATAGTAATTTGACTCACTTAAATTGAGCCTGGTAGCATACGCCCACAGCAACTGTCAATTTAAAGTCTGGTTGTTTTAAGAGGGATAGGCAGGCTACCTCAGATTGAGCTATGATAATGCAGAACCAAAGGGTAAATGGTTGTCTTGAGTAAAATCAATTAGAATCTAATGCATGAGCATAAGACTTTGCTATGTTTTTTCCAACATTTACATTTTAGTCATTTAGCAGACGCTCTTATCCAGAGCGACATACAGTTAGTGAGTGCATACATTATTTTATTTTTTACTATTAAATTTTTTCATACTGGCTCCCCGTGGGAAACGAACCCACAACCCTGGCGTTGCAAACGCCATGCTCTACCAACTGAGCTACATCCCTGCCGGCCGTTCCCTCCCCTACCCTGGACGACGCTGGGCCAATTGTGCGCCGCACCATGGGTCTCCCGGTCACGGCCGGCTACGACAGAGTCTGGATTCGAACCAGGATCTCTAGTGGCACAGACCACTGCGCCACTCGGGAGACAACATCTTGTGCTCAGGGTTGGATGGGTTTTGGGGATTATTATTTTGCCTATGTGACCTGGGCAAATTCTAGCATGCATTTTACCTTCCAGCAAGATTCCACAGCTAAATTCTGGCACGTAGAAATACCCAAATGAAAATGAGCATGCTGTTCTACTGTGGTTACACTGACTGTCCACAACACCATTACAGTTCCTGTTCAGTTTTCAAACATAAAATATAGGCTAACATTTTAAACGTTTTACCGAACTCAATTTGTTATACTGTTTCAGTGTTTCTATAAAAAGTAATGCAACATGCAACAATTTCAAATATTTTACTGAGTTACCGTTCATAAAGGAAATCAGTCAATTGAAATAAATTAATTAGGCACTAATCTACGGACTGGGAATACAGATATGCATCTGTTGGTCACAGATACCATAAAAAAAAGAAGGTACGGCCGTGGATCAGAAAACCAGTCAGTATCTGGTGTGACCACCATTTGCCTCATGCAGTGCGACACATCATGCCCTCGTAAAACTGACTATCCTACCGATCCTTGACTTCGGCGATGTCATTTACAAAATAGCCTCCAACACTCTACTCAGCAAATTGGATGTTGTCTATCACAGTGCCATCCGTTTTGTCTCCAAAGCCCCATATAATACCCACCACTGTGACCTGTACGCTCTTGTTGGCTGGTCCTCACTACATATTCGTCGCCAAACCCACTGGCTCCAGGCCATCTATAAATCACTGCTAGGCAAATCCCCGCCTTATCTTTACATTTACATTTTACATTTTTGTCATTTAGCAGACGCTCTTATCCAGAGCGACTTACAGGAGCAATTAGGGTTAAGTGCCTTGCTTAAGGGCACATCGACAGATTTTTCACCTAGTCGGCTCGGGGATTAGAACCAGCGACCTTTCGGTTACTGGCACAACGCTCTTACCCACTAAGCTACCTGCCGCCCTCTTAGCTCATTGGTCACCATAGCAACACCCACCCGTAGTCTGCGCTCCAGCGGGTATATCTCACTGGTCATCCCCAAAGCCAACACCTCCTTTGGCCGCAATTCCTTCCAGTTCTCTGCTGCCAATGACTGGAACAAATTGCAAAAATCTCTGAAGCTGGAGACACTTATCTCCCTCACTAACTTTAGGCATCAGTTGTCAGAGCACCTTACCGATCACTGCACCTGTACACAGCCCATCTGAAATTAGCCCGCCCAACTACCTCATCCCTATATTGTTATTTATTTTGCTCATTTGTACCCCAGTATCTCTATTTGCACATCATCTCTTGCACATCATTCCAGTGTTAATACTAAATTGTAATTATTTTGCACTATAGCCTATTTTATTGCCTTACCTCCATAACTTGCTAAATTTGCACACACTGTATATATATGTATTTCTGTTTCTGTATTTTTGACTTTGTTTTGTTTTACCCCATATGTAACTCTGTGTTGTTGTTTTTTATCGCACTGCTTTGCTTTATCTTGGCCAGGTCGCAGTTGTAAATGAGAACTTGTTCTCAACTGGTTTACCTGGTTAAATAAAGGTGAAATAAATAAATAAATAAAAAATAAAAAAAATAAAAAAAATAGAGTTGATTAGGCTGTTGATTGTGACCTGTGGAATGTTGTCCCACTTCAATGGCTGTGTGAAGTTGCTGGATATTGGCGGGAACTGGAACACGCTGTCGTACACGTCGATCCAGAATATCCCAATTGTGCTCGTTGTCTGTAGCTATGCCTGCCCATAACATAACCCCACCGCCACCATTGTATACTCAGTTCACAACATTGACATCAGCACACCATACACGTGGTTGTGAGGCCGGTTGGATGTACTGCCAAGTGTTTGGAAGTTTATGGAAGAGAAAATAACATTCAATCTCTGGCAGCAGCTCTGGTGGACATGAAATGCAAAAACAATAATTCCAGATGGTTTTTTAAAGACATGTAGAGAGGCCCTAAGGAAAAAGTTGAAGTTTACAAGGCTGAGGCAAATTAGTGTCTGATTTCATAATGTTTAAATACCAAGAAAGTGTGGGAGTCATGAAAAATAATGATTTTTGACAACATTTATTACAGGGCTTCCTGGAGAAATATGGCTACCTGCACCAGGACAATCACATACAGTGAGGGAAAAAAGTATTTGATCCCCTGCTGATTTTGTACGTTTGCCCACTGACAAAGACATGATCAGTCTATAATTTTAATGGTAGGTTTATTTGAACAGTGAGAGACAGAATAACAACAACAAAATCCAGAAAAACGCATGTCAAAAATGTTATAAATTGATTTGCATTTTAATGAGGGAAATAAGTATTTGACCCCTCTGCAAAACATGACTTAGTACTTGGTGGCAAACCCCTTGTTGGCAATCACAGAGGTCAGACGTTTCTTGTAGTTGGCCTCCAGGTTTGCACACATCTCAGGAGGGATTTTGTTCCACTCCTCTTTGCAGATCTTCTCCAAGTCATTAAGGTTTCGAGGCTGACGTTTGGCAACTCGAACCTTCAGCTCCCTCCACAGATTTTCTATGGGATTAAGGTCTGGAGACTGGCTAGGCCACTCCAGGACCTTAATGTGCTTCTTCTTGAGACACTCCTTTGTTGCCTTGGCCGTGTGTTTTGGGTCATTGTCATGCTAGAATACCCATCACGACCCATTTTCAATGCCCTGGCTGAGGGAAGGAGGTTCTCACCCAGGATTTGATGGTACATGGCCCCGTCCATTGTCCCTTTGATGCAGTGAAGTTGTCCTGTCCCCTTTACCAGAAAAACACCCCCAAAGCATAATGATTCCACTTCCACGTTTGACGGTGGGGATGATGTTCTTAGGGTCATAGGCAGCATTCCTCCTCCTCCAAACACGGCGAGTTGAGTTGATGCCAAAGAGCTCGATTTTGGTCTCATCTGACCACAACACTTTCACCCAGTTCTCCTCTGAATCATTCAGATGTTCATTGGCAAACTTCAGACGGGCCTGTATATGTGCTTTCTTGAGCAGGGGGACATTGCGGGCGCTGCAGGATTTCAGTCCTTCACGGCGTAGTGTGTTACCATTTGTTTTCTTGGTGACTATGGTCCCGGCTGCCTTGAGATCATTGACAAGATCCTCCTGTGTAGTTCTGGGCTGATTCCTCACCGTTCTCATGATCATTGCAACTCCACGATGTGAGATCTTGCATGGAGCCCCAGGCCGAGGGAGATTGACAGTTATTTTGTGTTTCTTCCATTTGCGAATAATCGCACCAACTGTTGTCACCTTCTCACCAAGCTGCTTGGCGATGGTCTTGTAGCCCATTCCAGCCTTGTGTAGGTCTACAATCTTGTCCCTGACATCCTTGGAGAGCTCTTTGGTCTTGGCCATGGTGGAGAGTTTGGAATCTGATTGATTGATTGCTTCTGTGAACAGGTGTCTTTTATACAGGTAACAAGCTGAGATTAGGAGCACTCCCTTTAAGAGTGTGCTCCTAATCTCAG